GTATATGTGTGAGTGGGTAGTATATATATATATATATATAGTTATATATATAGTTATATATATATATATATGTCTGTGTCTGTGTCTGTGTCTGTGGGTGTGACTTTCTGTGTGTGTGTATATATGTCTGTGTGTGTGTGTGTTTATATATTTATAGATACAGATATAGGTATTATTAAGAGTTTTGCTTTCACATTTATTTATTTATTTATAACCGGCTTACATGGGGTTGTATTGTCGCTTGCGCACATTCACAAGTGCAATTTGATATGGACTCGTTCAATGTTAATTTTTTTGAATGTCCTCTCTCCACGTACTGGCCTTGCGTATGCCGATTTTGGCATTGTTAGTCTCACAAGTTACTTTTTCTTTCGATCTTCGACAGCAAAAATCTTCGAGTGTGTATGCGTTCATCGAAATTCTTTTGTACCTCGTCCGCTAGTTAACAGATATATTAACAGTGATAGCCTTCACATTGTTAGAAATTCTTAATACATATCTGAACTCCCACCCCTCCCCGAGCAAGAAATTTCGTCTTATATGTTTCTCTGTCACCACCTTGTATACCCAGAAATCGGGTGCCAGCGAATTCACACGTATCGCAAAGTCAATACAAAAGGACATCAACAACACCTTCGGGAAATTAGAGAAGCTCACGCTGCTAGCCAAGAAAAAGAATATGTTTGAAGATCGGCCTGTTGAAATTCAGGTAGGTGCCGCCTATCCACTACAATAACTGTAATTTATTTATTTTAGCATGTGTATCACGCAACTGCTACGAATGAATACTGTGAGTATCACTTCTGAGAGGTACTCAGTGTCGGCAAAAGTCGTGCCGTATTATTCCGCACAGAAACGCCTTGGCTACTGCCCGTTCAACGTTACATTTTCTTTACATGCCATACACAGGAGTTGACATACATCATCAAACAGGACATAGCCAACCTCAACAACCAGATATCACGGTTACAACAATACCAGCTATCAAAGACGCGCGGCATGGCCCAAACACAGAGCAATTCTAATTCAGTCGTGGTAATTCTACAAAGCAGGTGAGAGTATGTGCGGTGCCAGTGACAAGCCTCGTGCCCCTTCTGGTGTTCATTCTAGATACATGTTAACTTTCAACTTGCCGTCGGTCGATGTGCAAGTATAATATACTACGAATGTCGCGACTGTGGAGTGCGTGCGTATGAGTGCGTGAGAGACGTATATGGAGGATCCAAAGTACTTGCTAGTTGTGCAACGATCATAGCAGGCGTATGAACATTTATGCATGTCATCCCCCTCATACGTATGATTCAATTAAGGAATTGATTCCATCGCATGAAAAGATCACAATTGATCATGCCAGAAAACCTGCTGCACTTCTGCATGTGTTTCAGGCCAGTTTGAATCTACAAATGCATTCCCTGAAGTATCAATGCACCTATACACAAATGTATTAGGGAAGGTGTACAAGTGCAGGAATGCACACGCATGTTTTCATACACATTTGTAAATAGCAATAAAACTCGAAATGTTCTATGCTCACTTGATCATAGATTGGCTGCTATGTCAAGCGGATTTAAGGGTGTGCTAGAGGAGAGGACCAAGAATATACAACATCAACAACAAAGGCGTCAACAGTTTAGTGGCTCCACTGGACCCCCACAGCAGCTCAGCTTTGCCCCAGCACCTCCTGGTACGTGACCCGTTTCCCTACCGAACCATAACAATCTCTTGCTGATCTTATACTGTCCTGATACTGTCCTTTTGATGTGATTTACACCCGAGTTGTTTCGGTATCTTGTGCACACCTGCTGCATCTATTTTCGTGTTATAAGCTGTCACGTATATACATCCTTGCGTTTTGAGACTCAGAGAGTGAAAGGCTACTTTATGTACTGAGATGGTCTAAGTACTGTACAGACTCTTTCATGTACGTATATACGCATGTTTTTGTACATCTGGTATGCAAAGTTAATCTTGAAAATATACGCTGGACGCGACCAGGGAGCACTTTGGTAAAAACAAAAGTCTCTCGTGCATTTAAAACTCTGCTTTTACTTGTTTGTATATGTAAATAAGTATTTTGTTCTATACGGGAGTGTATCTGTGGATCCCAATCCATGCCTTCGTAGCTGACTCGTGCGGTGGGCATTTCGGTTATGGCCACTTCGGACAATGACAAAAGGCCGATCGCATATTATATGTATTTGTATATATATATATATATATATATACATCACTAAGGACTACGTTGAAGACTGCTCCATGCACTTAAACGCGCTTGTTGGTACATTTCCTCGTTTAAGTGCATCCACTTTTATACGTATACAGCTGACTCATCCGGTGGGCACTACGGAAAGGATCACCTCAGGCAAAGACAAGGTGTACAACAGGAGGAATCACATGCAATAGAAATGGGAGGTCCTGCAGGACCCAGCACACAGCACGCGTCGTACCAACAGATGCAACTGCAGGATAATCAGGGCAGTGCCTACATGCAGGATAGATCGAACGCTGTGGATAGTATCAACAAGACTATCGGTAATCAGCTGCATGTGTATGAGTGCGCGTTCGTGTATAACTTCTTTGCATATGTAGACCTACTTGATTTCGAACATAATGCATATATATATATATATATATATATATATATGTGTGTGTGTGTGTGTTTATGTGAATGTGAGTGAGTGAGTGAGTGAGAGGGTGTGTGTATGAATGTATATGGGTGGGTGGGTGTTAGTATGCGTGCGCGTGTGCGTGTGCGTGTGCGTGCGCGTGTGCGTGGGTGGGTGTTTGTGTGAGTATATATTTATATATATATATATGTACGTTAGATATTTACATCTTTCATATATATATA